TTGTAAGCTTCTTAATGTTTTCCTTCAAGATGGCAAATTCCATTTGTCAAAGCCCAGTTCTCTTACAGTCCAACTCAAAAATGCTAAGATCTTTTCCAATTTGATCTTAAAGTGGGTTTTGGCAATTAGGTATTCACCCAAAAAATCACCATAAAACTACTTTTTGCATTCCAAATGCCTAATGCCAATAGACTGTTATGTTATTTGGACTTAAAGCCATCCTATCACTATTCCAAAAGGTTATGACAAAAAATATTTAAGCCCATTCTTAATAGTATCCTCATCTACATAGATAATATTTTGCTTTTCTTAAAAGAAGAAGATTCCTATAAGCTCTTATTAGCCCAATTTAGAGATATAGTTGAAAAATATAAGATTATAGTGTCAACAAGAGAAAGGAGAAATTAGTATCAGAAAAATTACTCAAATTTTTCTGTATTATCCAAATAGAAGAATTACTCAAATTTCCATATAAAAATTTCACCACAAAGCAAATTTAATAGTTTTAAGGGATTGTCAATTATCTAAGAGATTTTTCTCCCTCATGTGTCCAATTATACTAGCTAGCTATCCAAACTTTTGAAAAAGAATTCTCTTGTATAGGAAGCAGACCCTCAAAAGAATTGCTCAGCATCTACCGCCTTTAAAGACTCCTGACAAAGGATTGCGAATCCTACAAAATTGATGCTAGAAAAGATTTTTTGGGTGTTGTTTTAATTGAAAAAATAATGAAAAAAGATTTTATTGTAGGCTTGGAAGTGGATAATTCAAAGAGTCAGAAAAACATTACCATGCTACTTACAAAGAAATCCTTGCAATCAAAAAAGAAATTGAAAAGTTTAGTTTTCATCTCAATCCTTATTAGTTCAGAGTAAAAATAGACAATACGTGTTTTCCTAAGATGCTTAATCCCAAAAGAAAAAATTCACTCTCTCATTAAATTCACAGTTTATCATCTCAAAAGGCATCAAAATACCATTGCAGATTATCTTTCAAAGCCTCAAAAAACTCTCAAATTTCATCTTCTCCCATAACATATCAACCACTCTATACATTACAAAATGAAAGCCACCATCTTCCCTCCTTGATCACGACCTAAAACCCCTACAAATGTTCATAAGTTTTGATATGGACACTCTATATCTCACTATCCCTATCATCAAAAGACCGATTCCATAAGAGCTCTTATGTACCTCTAGTTTCTTTCAGCCATCAATACTTGAGCCATAGCCTTTCTAGGCTTACCCATACACCACTATTTGTGTGACTCCAAAAATCAAAAACTCCCATCTTGTTATCCTTTTTGAGTTATTTGCTTCTTTATCAAACTAGCGAGGAAAACTTTATAATATTCTTAATGAATTTAATGTTTGAAGTGCACTACCTTCAAAACAAAAAAGGTTTTTCTGCTTATTTACTCTCTATAGGAGATATGAAAGGGATGCAGATAGAAGTCTCTACATAGAAGGACTCTAATTTTCTCAACCAAAATTACCATTATCTCCTCAAGTCCGTTACACATTAGGAATCTATAACTCTGATCCAAACAACTCTAATCCAGAAGACTGCATGAATTTGTCTCTAAGTCATTAACCAATCTTCAAGGTCTAGACATAAGGATGACCCACCAGGAATCTACTTTAAGTGTGACTTATGTATCTTTATATCACGTGTCTACTTTAAATTTGTTTTAAGTCTATAAGTCCTTGTCCTGGTTAATAATTAAGGGCATCTTTGCCCTTATGTCACGCGTCTGATTAAGAATCTTTGTTTTTGTGTTTGTAGCAATAATTTTTGTTGATTGTAGTGCTGTAATCTTGATGTCTATATAAACCAAGTTCTGCCAAGTGATAGAAGTGGAATAAGCTGCATGAAATCCTCTGTATCATATAAGTGTGTTTTCATGAATTTTCTCTAAGCCTCTTTTTTGTTTTGACAGCCTAACTTATAATACCTTTTTTCTGTCTCTAGAGATTCTATACATGCTATGCCTTACCTCTTTAAGAATATCCTGTGCAACAGAAATAGAATCTGACCATGATCTTTTAAGATGTATTCAGTAACAACTCTCTAGGTTTCCTAGTTCTGGTATCCAAAGACAATAGTCATAACATGGCCCTTCTGATGAGTTGATATATGTGGCCTTACCTAGACTAAAGCTTTAAATATCAGGCTATGTTAACTTAGGTTTTTAGGCTGACTCTTCATGTTGTATTAGAGCCTGCATTTAAGACAGAAGCTAGATATTATTTATGATGATGAGCAAGAAGAATTCATCAAAACCAGAGTAATACATCAACCAGTCTTGAACCTGTTCGACTTTTCTCATCTTTTAATTCTTAAAGACTTCCTTCTTTTATTTGTAGAATACTTTCTACAAAGATTGAAAATCTAATTGAAAACGATTATCTTCCTGATGATGCCAAAATTCAAAAAATGGATTTACCTCTTCTCAAACCATTGTTCTAATCGTGTCACCAGAGATATTAGAAATCTGATCTCTGTAAGAAGACCTCATGTAAAGGAGATTGTTCAAATAACTAATCTAGATACCTGTGGTCTTCCTGCAACTTCTACTGAATAGTACGTTACTCTTTATATTATACAAAGGACTTCATGTAGCTCATTCCACTCTATCACTTGGCAAAACTTGGTTTATATAGACCTTAAGGATTACAACACAACAATAAACTAAAATTATTACTACAGACACAAAAACAAAGTTTCTCAGACAGACGCATGATATAAGGGCAAAGATGCCCTTAATTATTAAACAAGACAAGGACTCACAAACTTAAAACAAATTTAAAGTAGACACGTGACATAAAAATACATAAGTCACACTTCAAATAGATTCTTGGTGGGTTATCCTATAACTCTAGTCTAGACAACTCTGGTCCAGAAGGCTACATGAATTTGTCTCCAAGTACTAAAGTAGAAAAACCTTTTTTGGTTTTGAAGGTGCTGCACTCTAAACATTAAATTCATTAAGGATATTATAAAGTTTTCCTCGCTAGTTTGATAAAGGAGTAGATGAGTCAAAAAAGGTAACAAGATGGGAGTTTTGATTTCTAAAGTCACACAAGTGGTGATGTATAGGTAAAACTGGAAAGGCTATGACAAGTATTGATGCTTGAAAGAGACCAAAGATACCTAAGAGCTCTTCTAGAATAGGTCCTTTGATGATAGGGATGGTGAGATATGGAGTGTCCATATCAAAGTGTTGAGGCTATGGATGGACTCCAGTGTTAACAAAAAAGAGATGAAGCCAATAGAATAAGGAACCTCTGGCAAGGTTATAAACATCTGTAGGGGTTTCAGGTCATGATCCAAGAGGGAAGATGGTCGCTTTCATTCTGTAAGACATTTCTTTTTCAGGTCAGAAATGATTAAGATGAAATTTGGAAAGCTTTTTGAGGGCTTGAAAGATAATCTACAATGGTATTTTGATGCCCTTTGAGATGATAAAACTGTGAATTTATAACGAGAAAACCAATCTTTCCATAAAAGAGCTAGCTATTTGTAGGATTAAGCATCTTAATTAATAAGGATTGAGATGAAAACTGAACTACTTAATTCCTTTTTTAACTGTAAAGATTTTTTTGTAAGTAGCATGGTAATACTTTTCTAACTTTTTGAATTTTCTGCTTGCATACTCACAATAAAATATTTTTTCATTTATTTCTTCAATTAAAATAGCACCCCAAAAATCTTCACTAGCATCAATTTGTAAAATTCGTAATCCTTTATCAGGAATCTTTAAAGGTAGTGGACGCTAAGTAATTTTTTTGAGGGTTTGGATAGCTAAGGTCTAATCTGTTCCTCATGCAGGAGAATTCTTTTTCAAAAGTTTGGATAGCTTTGAAAAAATAGTTAACTATGATAGACAAAATGGATTGATGTTTTATATTGAGGACTAAATTAAAAATCAAACTAACTCTTGTATTAAAAACTAAAAGTAATACTCCTCCGGTCCTTAATATAAGACCCAATTGTTGAGTTGGGTTTGGTCCTAAATATAAGACCCATTTCTCATATTATCAATTTTTCTAAACTACCCCTATGGATACTCCTCAACCATAATCAAATAGAAGAGGGAGATGAGGTATTAAGAAAGATGATTATGGTGTTTTAGGAAAAATGTGTCACTTTTCTTATAATTAACCAACTTACCTAACTTCCTTAATCTAATCAAATTAGTTAAATGGGTCTTATATTAAGGATCGGAGGAGTAACATTTTTGTTGATGCAACCTTGACAATGATGCCAAATAAGCAAATTTTAATTCTATCAATGCCACATTGGATGAGTTATGGGAGACTCGGATGTTTTCTAAGATTTAGGAAACTTTAAAGAAGTCACGATGAGGCAAACTATAAAAATTGAGCTACAAACTCGGCGAAAGATTAAACAATTAATTTTCTCTGGATAAAATTTTATGAATTCTCTAGATAGGGCTGCATGCCTTACCCCTGTAAAACCACCTAAAATGCCTAATTCTTTTTAGGCCAATTTTTTCAAGTTGGGCTAACACACTTTCTTCAGCTGGAGCGAGCATAGTGGGTTGTAGTTGGAAAAGTACAAATACAAGCGGTACATAAATAGTATAATAACTTACTACCCTCTAAAATCCACCCTACTTGGTTAATGTGTCGCCCTGGGAGATACTTAATCTGCAGCCTTTAACATAAATTATTTTAGACAGTAAACAAATTTCTGCGGTCCATAGAAATAGATTGTGAAAAATCAAGACAAACCAGCTCCAAATGCATGTATAGCTTGCTTGCTCGGTGTCAAGGTTGGAGTTTGATCACATTCAAAAGTTGAAATTGCATTTATTAGTTAGTTGCTAGAATGATTTTTGTCACCCAAAATCTTTCAAACAATTTCAAGGGTGTATGCCTCTTCAACAATGAAAATCTAGTTATCTGGGAAGAAAAATGGTCCAAAATCTAACTACCTAATAAATATATGCTACAAGCATAGTCGTTCTAATACTCCTAAGTTTTAACAGCGCAATCCTTGGCTCAGCATTTTGCTAGCCATTTATTCCGAACCCTTTAAACAACTGCTTCATGAAAGCCAGATTATGCAGAAATATGGTTGCAGAGACTACAGAGGTAAGATAGCAATAAATTTTGAGCTTACCTGAGTCCAACAGCCTCCAGAAGGTGTAACAAAACTCGCATGTGGAAGAGCTTGAGTACTATGATATCCTCCTCCTTCTGTCCATTCTTGATTTCACCAACAAAGACTATTTTCAAAGACAAGCAGGATCATGATGTAATCAAATTAAAGTTATCATTATGGCACAGGGCTATTCGTTAACTAGACCTACAGAAGTCGAAAATTTGTAAGTCGGCCAGTAGATTAAAGAATAGCGCCCCTCAATGAAATGTTGGAAAAATCTGAGCGTTTAAACTCTATTAGATCACAAATCCTAAATGTGAACTAAAATTTCTGTAAACAAGAGAAACGATGTTCCTTGTTTTAATGATGACCTGAACATTTATAACTCCAAGAAAGCTGGCGATTCAAAGAATTCTAAAGCGTAAAATGACATAACAATAGAGAAGAAACTAAACCAAAGCCAGCAGAGCAATATCAAAGCGCTTGCAACATCAAGAGGACCATTGATCGTCTGCATCCAGCTCTCCAAGACCCATTAAGCTACACAAATTTGAACAAAGAACTCTCTAATCATTCGAACAACCAGAATCCAAAAACTAAAAATTACAACGTGAAAGCAAGATCAGGTAGGATGAACACCTTCATCACAGGTTCACGACGACTTCAAACTGAAATCAATCACAATTTCATTAGACTTTTCAGTAAATCTTTCAACAGTTAATTCAAGCAGAGGTATCAAATCCGTTAAATTTCTTCATACATATGCGAAGAAACAGACATACTGGAGATCGCACCCAAACTGAACTACCTTTACCTTACCAGAAAAGCAGGGAAGAGAGTACAAACACGATCGATGGGATTGGTAACGGAGATCTTGAAGAAGAAAGACGAGAATTCCCAAACAAAAAAAGAAAATTACCATGAACTACGGCGAGGAAACGATGGAGAGAGAATTGAGAGCGTGAGACAGAGAGTTAGAGCCTTCACTGACTATTATTTACCCGTTAAAGTTAAACGGTCAAGACTCGAGGATTTTTATGAGATATCAAATTTTGAATTTGGGTTACAACTACAGGAGGAAAAAATTAAAGGTAACGGCTTTGTTTTTTTTTTTTTGGGGGGGGGGGGATTCAAAATTTGAATTGGGATTTTCTGACTGGAATGTGCGGTTTTTTTTCTTCCAAGAGATGTAATAAAAGCAACGGCAATTTTTCCCTCTTTGGAATCCATATGCAACGATGTTCCTAATTCCGTAATGATTTTTTTTTCTTTTTGCCAGAATCCCAGTTTCATAATGATAAGACAAGTTTTGAAAATTAAGGGCTGTCGTAGCAATAGAATTCAAAGTTAAAGTGAATTTATGTCTAGTCTGTTTTTTATGTCATTAATTAATAAATAATAATTGAAATTACTTTATTTTAATATTTTAGTATTCTTTTAAGTTCGTAACTAAATATAAATATATATTGTTTACTGATGAAGTGAAATGCTAGAATAGAAAGGATTAAAAATGTATTCCCACAATATACTGCGTGGAACGAAATAACAAAATAATTACATTGATATTAATAATATTAATAATATATTTAAAAAAGAAAAAAATCCCATATAAATACTATTTGAATTCTAAATTCCAGATTAGTCATTCTAATGTCATAAAAGACAAATAGGTCTACAGGTATTAAATTGAGATTTACAAATTTTAGCAAATTACCTCAATGCCTTTTCTCTCATCTTTTTTTGTCTTCTATCTTTCTTCAGGTCCTCTTCTTTTTCGAAGGGTGGCCGAATTGAAAGGTTAGGCATGAATTGCCAAAGGGTTCGGTGAAGAAGAAGAAGATGTGGTCTCTCCTACGACGTCATAATATGTTCTTAATGAATATTTCATGATGCTTGAGGTTTGAGATTTGGTGCCTCCTGTCTTTCGTCTTCCCTTCTTAATCTCATCACCAACACTGTAAGAGAGAGAAAGAGAGAGAGAGAGTTTAGAGAAGAAGCAGGAAAAAAAAAAAGGGAAGAGAGGGAGAGAAGAGGAGAGAGAGGAAGAAGAAGCACCCATAGAACCAGGGTATTTTTATGCAAGGTTTGAGAGTATATTGATTAACTTTCCACTATCTTCTAAGAAAGTTTATTCCTAAACTTTGTTATTTTGTTAGTTTCCATTTTCTGCTATGTTTTGTTAAGTCAGGAATGAGTAATAAATTTCATTACCTAACCAGTAAATTTCGATACATGTGTAGTAAACAGCCCTAGTTGGTTTGTGGTGAAATGACAACACTTAATATATGAATGACTAGATTTGTGTTAGTAATAACAACTTTTTTGTAAAGCCAAGGAGATTGACTTGTTCTTGAAATTGAACTCATATGTTAATGGAACTGATAAGATTTGTTATGGCAATGACTACATTATTGTGAAGCAAATTAAATTAAGTGGGTTGTGGGATTTACTACACTTCATAATGGAATTGACTATGTTTCTTTTGATAATGATTAGATTATTGTAAAGAAAATATAGTGTATTAGAGGACTACAAAGTGATGTTTTTGCAGGAAGGAAAAATGATATTAGAAGGAGAGCCAAGCAAAGAAGTGAAGAGTGGATGCATATTATTTCGAAAGGAATTTCTTGGGTTGGGGAAGAAGTTTAAGAAAAGTATTGTACACACAAATGCATTATCCAACTATTATTATGATATTTGACTTATGGTTGTAGATAGAATTTGTTTACAAAAATATATTTAATCACTATTATTGCACATTTATTGATAACAAGTGCAAATTATGTTTACCTTTGGAGGTCATTATAATGAATGTAGCTTTCAATAGCATTTGCAAAGTGATTAACAACTTTCAAAGTGAATATACCAATTTCTATAAGGTGTTGCACAATCTTTTTATTTGTAATCATTTATAATCCATTTGCACATAATTTTACTAAACATATAATAAGAATAACAACTTGTGAAACAAAAGTAACTATTTGTATAAAGAGTTTTACAATTTATTATAAGCTATTTGTAGCCAGTTTTACAAAACAAGTAAAAGAAATCACAACTTGCATAATGCAAGTTGCCAATTGTATTAGGAGATTTGCAACTTGTTTCTTTGTAACTATTTTTAATGCTTTTACCCACAATTTTACTGAATATATAGCGGGAATAACAACTTATGAAATGAAAGTGACCATTTACATCATGAGTTTTACAACCTGTTTTAATCAACGTGTCAGTATGTGAAAATATTCAACCGTTTTTTCTTTTTCTTACTCCAAGGGCATATTAGTCATTCTATCAAAATTTGCAAATCCAAAATTCATACCTTATGCCTATTTGGTCATTTCATTTATCTGGATCATTTTTTTGTCCTTGTCAATTTCAGTGAGTAACTTTTTGACATTTTTCTGTTATTTTTCCTTTAAAAAAAGCATAAAAATGTGAATACCAAGTTTAACCTAAAATATAAATTTACAATCAGTAGTTATAATTAAAACTGAAATAGCAAGTACTACCTCAAATCTTAATTATAAGATCTCATTCGTAGTCTATAAATGATGTCCTATAATTAAGATTGGATGTAGTATTATAAATATGCAAACATTTGCTAGCTTGCTTACACAAATAGCCTCCTTAGCAAAATCATCAACAGCTTCTCACTTTGGTTATGTGAAAGGTATTAGGGATATGCCAAGTTAATTAGTCAACATCCTCCTCTTTTTTGTTGAAAACAAATATATAGATTGCCATTATTTTTCTGATGTAAAACAGAAAGGAGAAAGGGGAAGAGAAGGGAGATCAGAGAAGAATATTAGAGAGAAAGGGAGAGCAGAGATGAGAATGGGAGTAGAAAAAAACTATCTAATACGTTCAATAAAGCCAAGTCTGCCAACATGATAGAAACCTAGGGTACTTATAACCTAATTTTAAATAAAATAATTAAAATGCAAAATCAATAAGTGGGTTAGTGGGTAGTTAACAAAATAAAATAACTAACAAAAGAAAATTAATTAATTAAATCTGCATCATTCCCCCCCGGTTCAAAGAACTCGCCACTAAAGAGCTAGAAAGTTGGTAGCTGTCGAGGAATCCACACGATGAAACTCATCCTCAATGAGCCATGTAGTGTTTGAATCAGGATAGCCTTTCCAACGAACGAGGTAATGACTGATGGGACCTACTAGAGTTAGAACCGTTTGCTCATCTATCACAGTGTCAATGGCTTCAGCAGGAGGCGCAACTCTAGGCACGGGTGGGGTTGGGGCCTGGTGAGTCTGAGTACTTGCAAAGTCATCAAAACACAAACGGGGCGGCTTGAAAGTGCCCCGATAAAGAACAAGATCCTTAACATTAAATACTGGACTAATAGACATATCTAGAGGTAACTCTAATAAATATGCATTGGGCCCTAACTTCTTGGAAATGCAAAACGAGCCAGAGGCACGAGCATGCAGCTTTTTGTAAGGCCTCTTTGTGAAACACTCAAGCCTTATACGAGCCACGACAAGGTCGCCAACATTGAACTCCTGGTGACGTCGATAGACATCGGCAGCTATCTTATACCTGTTATTATTTAAAGCTAATTTACACCTAACCTCAGCATGAATATCATGAAGGCGATGTGCAAAGGTCTCAACAGACCCAGAAGGGCAAGCAGACAGGGAAAGGGGAAAAAGTTCAACAGGCTACTTTGGGTTGTGACCCTGGATAATTTGGAATGGGCTTTTGCTAGTGGATCTATTGACCGAGTTATTGTAAGCAAATTTAGCTATAGGCAAGACTAAATCCCAGTTACCAGGCTTATCGCCAACTAAACTAAGAAGCAAGTCACCTAAGCTATGGTTAGTCACTTCAGTCTGAGAGTGGAAAGCAGACAAGAACTTCAATTACGTACCGAAGAGCTTCTAGAGGGTCTTCCAGAAATAGCTGACAAACTTGACATCCCTATCAGAGACGATAATGGTAGGCAGACCGTGAAGACGCACAACCTCTCAAAAGAAAAGCTTGGCCAGATGTGATGTATCGATAGTCCTACTACATGGGATGAAATGTGCTATTTTTGAGAATCTATCAACCACAACCAAGACAGAATTGTGCCCTTGCACTGCCTTTGGCAACCCAAGCACGAAATCCATACTAATGTCCTTCCATGGTGCTTGAGGAACAGGAAGAGGCGTGTACAACCCAGTATTCCTCTTCTTTGCCTTTGTTGTATGGCATGTACGACACTAGGAAAGGATTCGAGCAACATCATGCTTAAGGGAAGGCCAGTAGAACCTGTCTTCAACCATGGCCGTAGTCTTCTGAATGCTGAAGCCTCCAGCTAGCCCCCCACATGTAATTCCCAAACAAGAAAATCGCGCAGTGACGTGAGGGGAATACACAACCTAGACCCATAGAATAGATAGCCATCATTGATTAGGAAATTCACATGATCTTGGCAGTTGCCATCTTTAACCTCATCATAAATGATGCCAAAGTTAGGACACGAAGTGTACTCGTCTTTGAGCCTATCAAATCCCATGACATTAACCGTGAAGGTGTTGAGAACATGGATTCTTCGGCTAAAAGCATCAGCTACCTTGTTCTCTGCCCCTGGGCGGTGCTTGACCATAAAGGTAAATTCCTAAATGAACTCGCTCCACTTGGCATGTTAGGCATTCAAATGCCGTTGGGAGCTAAGGAACTTGAGAGACTGGTGGTCTGAGTAGATGACAAACTATTGGGGGAGGAGATAGTACTTCCAATGCTCCAAATAGCAAACAATGGCATAGAACTCCTTGTCGT